AGCTGGAGGGTCGGGGCTTGGCTTTTCTACAATAGGAGTTGGTTGGAATCCCTGAATTACAGGGCAGTTAGTTTGAAATTGTTACATATCCTAGAAGATACAAGCATTACAACTTTAGAATATAAGGACTAGTCAAGAGTAACGTGATTATGCCAATGGATGATCTCAGAAGGGATGGGAACCGGGAAGCCATGGTTATGTTTGCTCTAGGAAAGCCGTCTTATCCTTCAGTATCCTGCTGCAGACCATTTCCTTATCTCTTACAGGGTTTTTCTAGCCATATGACAGTGTGGTAGTTTATACATTAATCATTTTTTTAAAAAAAAATTATTGATTTTTATTGAGCTTTACATTTTTCTCTGTTCTCCTCCCTGCCTCTCCCCTCCCCTTCAACCCTCTTCCAAGGTCCCCATGCTTCCAATTTACTCAGGAGATCTTGTCTTTTTCTACTTCCCATGTAGATTAGATCTATGTATGTCTCTCTTAGTGTCCGCATTGTTGTCTAGGTTCTCTGGGATTGTGATTTGTAGGCTGGCTTTCTTTGCTTTATGTTTAAAAACCACATATGAGTGAGTACATATGATAATTGTCTTTCTGGGTCTGGGTTACCTCACTCAAAATGATGTTTTCTAGCTCCATCCATTTTCCTGCAAAATTCAAGATGTTATTTTTTTCTGCTGTGTAATACTCCATTGTGTAAATGTACCACATTTTCCTTATCCATTCTTGGGTCGAGGGGCATTTAAGTTGTTTCCATGGCAAACTATGCTGCTATGAACATAGTTGAGCACATGTCCTTGTGGCACGATTGAGTATCCTTTGGGTATATACCCCAAAGTAGTATTGCTGGGTCTTGAGGAAGGTTGTTTCTTAATTTTCTGAGAAATCGCCACACTGACATCCAAAGGGTTGTACCAGCTTGCATTCTCACCAGCAATGGAGGAGTGTTCCCTTTACCTCTCCAGCGTAAGTTGTCATCAGTGTTTTTGATCTTGGCCATTCTTACATGTGTAAGGTACACATTAATCCTTTGACCAAAGTTTTCCCATTCAGTTTGTACTAGGGTCAGGCAGTATTACAGTGCCATATTGCCCTCACTGTTTTGAGACTCTCAGGTTATACCTTAAATTCTGAGAATGAATTATCGTGTGTGGTCCAAGGGATGCTAACTGAAGAGACAAGTATCAGGACCACTAGGTGGGTAGAAGCATCTGTCTCATCCTTTTCAGAGCCCTTAAGAGCTGATGGACTGGAGAGTTCCTTCACACCCTATTCAGATATCCCTTGGTGAGTCTGAGCAAGGGCACAGGGGAATCAGAGACCCTGGCTTGCCTTCCCTACTCTTTTGCATGTACTCCTTCTCCTGTTGGGGTTTAAATCAATTGCTTTAAGCCGGGTAGTGGTGGCTCACGCCTTTAATCCCAGCCCTCGGAAGGCAGAAGCAGGCGAATTTCTGTGAGTTCGAGGCCAGCCTGGTCTACAAGAGCTAGTTCCAGGACAGGCTCCAAAGCTACAGACAAACTCCATCTCAAAAAACAAAACAAAACAAACAAACAAAAAAATCAATTGCTTTAATGAACAAAATACCTGAATTTCTACTTTCTTATGAGCATTTCTGAGATTGTTTTTATCTTAATATGGTGATGTCACTCTTCCAAGAAGCTCTTAAAAAATAAGAGAAAAATAACATTTGAACTAGTTTTGCTTTAGAGAGTCACTCGCTTGCATGAATGGCGCTGGGTTTTGGTTTTAAGTCCATTCAGGTTAAAAGCGTAAAGCTCAGGGGTGTATCTGTTTAGCTGGGGAACTGTCTCCATAACCCTTACGGATGGGATTGTCTACAGTAAGTGAACAGGGAGGGAACGAGAGCAGTTGGAGTCTAGTGAAGCTGAAGCAGAGGTAAATACATCATGGCTAGTTAGTTAGCAGGGTGGCACCCACAGTGCTGGGGAGTCTCAGAGCTGCGTCCCGCTATGTCCCTGTATCCAGGCAGATGTCTGGAAGGAGGATTTGGGTGTATGAACCAATGCTGACAGCACAGGAAAGTCTGGGCGTGGTGGTGCTCTAAGGACTCAGCAGAGCTGAGGACTATAAATGACCATGTTGGGGAAGGGGTCTCCATCTTGTCTCTACCTATGGTGGTGGTTGGTGAGAATGTGGGCCACTTACTACTAGGGAAGCCCACATATCTAGACTAAATGTGGTCCATTACCGGCAGCTGCCTTCTAAGCTTAAGTCTGGGTTTGGAGCTGCTGTTAATGGGTGCACTTTTCTATCATGCCACGAATTCAACAAATACCAGTAGAATGGGGAGAGGGACCCCACACATTCTAGCTATGGGGCACCATAGCCCTGAAAAGGAAGGGGAAAGAAAGGAAAGAGAGAGAGAATCTTGTTCTCCAGAACTATGATCAGATGTCCTGCAGGAGTCTGCTCACCCCATCTCTGGGCTCCAGGAAAGAAGGATGTGTGCGTTGATGCTGGCTGGTGGGAGGAGGAAAGTCCGAGGGTGTGGCCAGGCCAGCTGCTGGCGAGAGCCACACTTTACCCTCAAAAGCTTCGCTATTTCCCATCATACAGGAGAACAGGAGAAAAGTTTTTTTAAAAAAATGATTTATTTAACTTTATTTTATGTGCATTGGTGTGAATGTGTTAGTTCCCCTGGGACTGAACTCTCAGACAGCTGAGAGCTGCCATGTGGGTGCTGAAATTGAACCCGGGTCCTCTAGAAGAGCAGTCAGTGCTCATAACTGCTGACCCATCTCTCCAGCCCCAGAAGAAAAGTTTGAGGCCCACCTGGGCCCCTTATCCTGTGGCAGAAAGCAAGGACAGAAAGGAAGGATGAGGAGGGGGGGGGGCCCTGTACTAACAGATGTTTCCAGTGCCCTGGAGAAGTGACAGGAGGTAGGTGACGGCACAGATGAGGGATGTGAAATGAGAAATAGGGTAGGGGTCGGAGAGAGGGCTCCATGGCTGAGACCACTGGCTGCTTTCCCAGAGCACCTGGATTTGATTCCCAGCACTCACATGGCAATTCACATCCATCTGTAACTCCAGTCTTAGGGACTCTGACACCCTCTTCTCACCTGTGTAGGTACCCGCTACAAATATGGTACACAGGCATGCATGCAGGGAAAATACTCATACACATAAAACAAACAAACAGACAGACATAGGACCTAGCTGGCTCCCCCTTCTAGCTAGCAGTTCACCAAATGTAGTAGGTGTGGGTCTGAGTCTCAGGACACCTACTCAGGTTTCCAGGTCTTTTTTTTTTTTTCCAGTCCCCAAAGAAAGGAACCAGGGATGCATGGTTAGAAATAAGAACAGAGACAGTTTACTAAGGGAAATCACTCACGAGAGTGGGAGTGGGTCAGTGAACTGAGGGTAAAGCACTCACTGCAAAACAACGGGTCCAGAGATTCACACCTCTTTACAGGTCATTTGTGGGGTATCCACCTTTCTTAGCGATTCTACTGCTATGAAGAGACACCACGACAATGCAACTCTTATAAAGAACACATTTAATGGAGGTGGCAGCTTACAGATTTAGAGGTTCAGTCCATTATCATCATGACAGGAAGCATGGTGTCATGCAGGCAGGCATGCTGCTGGCTACATCTTGATATGCAGTAACAGGAAGTTACTCACTGGGCATGGGTTGAACATATACGAGACCTCAAAGCTCGCTTTCGCTGTGACATACTTCCTCCAACAAGACGGACCACACCTCCTAACAGTGTTACTTCCTTTGGGAGCCGTTTTCTTTTAAGTCCCCACGGCCCTTCTCCCACATCTGTACATGGTGGGCTTCCCCCAGGCATGCTGTATTTGATGTCGGTTACAGGCAAGGAAGGGATTTCAGTGGTTCAGTAAGAGACCCTGCTTCAAAAACCTAAGGTGGGGGAAACCTCATGATGCATATTCCATGAGGTTGTTATCTGCAGTGGGGCAGGGCTTTGAGTGATGCAGCTATTCTGCGATCACCCATGCTCCTAACATTGCTGCATCTGCCTTGGTGGTGGAGGAGGACTTCTTACTGTGGATGGTGACTGTTGATGAAGAATCTCATAACTGTTTAAACTTCTGAGAACAAGGGGGCTGTCGAGGTGGTATGGCTCCCCAGTGCTCAGCAAAGGATCATGGGCATGTCACCCCCTTCTGAGGTCCGAAGAACACTAAAGAGGATGGTGGTGTTAGTGGAAAGAAAGTAAGGGCCAAAGGACAGGGGTGGAGTGTTGCCAGCATCTCACCCTCTGTGGATAACACAATGCCATCTTTGAACAGGCATTAATCTGGTGACTAGAGCAGGATCATAGAGTGGTACCCAGGCTGGTGATAGTGACGGTGGAGCTGTTGATATTCCAGGGGTTGGGAGGAGTCACAAGATCTCTACCTGGGATTCCGGCTGTCTACACTAGCCCCAGCTGCAAACCATCTTGGGAGATGCTAGACCGTATGGATGTGGAAGACGAGAAAAAGAGATGCTCCACAGTGCAGCTTCTGCGCGCTTGCTGTTGACGGTGGGCTGGGGCTTCGTGGTGCTGCAGCTGTTTTGGGACTACCCACACTCCTATGGGTGATCTCCCATCTGTACTCCGTAAACAAACCCAATAAACTCATTGGTCTCAGCAAGTTGGGCTTTGATAAAAACATAAAGTGGAGGGTGATTGACAAGGACACCTGGTGTGAGTGTCCAGCTTACACATGTACCCTTGCATATATAAACGTGCAGAGAAATTTCCTGTGTCGCATGGACTTTGGACCTTTTCTCCAGGCAGTGTGTTACCAATTGCATGCACAGTTAGGCCCCTTTCCATTTTTGTAGCTTGTCCTCTTTGTGTAAACTTAGCAGGGTATGGGTGTAGCTCAGGGGTAGATGGCTGGTCTAACACACATGAGGTCCTGGGTGCCATCTGCAGTACTGAAACAATTTACAATTAAAGAGAGTATGTGGTTCCAAAGTCAAATCTATTAAATGAATATTAATAAGCCAGTCAATGTCTTAGGATCTCCTTTATCACAGTCCCTATATGGCTGAGGTTCCTATTTAACATAGCAAAGCAGACCAGGTCAGTAAAAGTGGGGGCTGTCTCAGAACCTCAGGAGAAGGACAGTCCGAGTAAGCTGGGATGCTGTACGCATGTCAGGATCCTCCCAGGTGAAAGCGAATAGATTGTGTGATTCTGAGTGTAAAGGGACGGTGAGGAAAGCATCCTTAGGTCTAGGACAGTATAATGAGAGGTGGAGGAGGGGATCTGAGAGAGGGGAGTATAAGAGTCAGGGACTACAGCTGCTGTAATAATCCCGAGGTCCTGGACTAGGCGGTAAGAACCGTCAGGCTGTAGTGCGGACAGGATAGGAACGTTATAGGGTAGGTGAGCATGCTTGATACCTTTATCAAGAACACGCTCTATGATAGGTTTACACCTGTGTTTTCACAGGAATACGGTATTGAGAGCGACAAGGGTAGGGACTGGGTGCCTGAGTAGGATCTTAATCAGTGGTGTGAGGCCACTGAGAGAGAGGAAGTGTCCCACACTTTTGGGTTAACAAGGGGTCTGGTAGGGGGTGGGGCAAAGTATTAATGTGAATAGGGAGCTCTTCACAGGCAAGGAGAAGAGGAAAAATTCCAGAGCGAGTTGATTGAGGAAAAAAAAATGTAACTTGACCTTGATATCTCTGCCCAATAACAGGGTTGGGCAGCCAGGTGAGATGAAGAAGCGGCGAGCAATCAGGTGGCCCTAGAGTGAGCAGAGAAGGGGGCCTGTAGCCCTTGCTGCTGGGCCTGCCCGCCAACACCTACCCCAGAGATCTAAGAAGGATAGGTTTCACCTGAGTAATCAGGAAATACAAAGTAGCTCCTGAACCTATTAAAAATGATAGAGACTTACAGGCTAGCAGGACAGCAGCCTGAGGTTCCCTGTGGTAATCTTGATTTCACGGGGACAGGGGTCCCAGGAGAGCTTCAGTCTTTGGCTACCAGGCTCAGAAGATCCAGCAAGACTTTCCTGTGGAGGAGGAATCTGGGGGAATCAACCTTCCTTGTCTAGGCAAAGTGGGGTAATCAACTCCCCAGGGTCCTGCTTGACCACAGTCTGGACAGGGTTCTGGTACCAGGCGAGGTGAAGGGCAGATTTCCATCCAGTGGTCAGCTTTGCCGTGTTTGAAGCAAGCTCCAGGTGGAGTTCTCCTGCGCCCCGCTATCTTCTTTGCAGGAGATCTTAGGGCAGCTGACAGGAATTGGCACTTCTTTCTGCCGTGGGAAGCTTTCTCTATCTTTCCCCGCTCCTCCTTTAAATGCCATATTCAATGGATATCTCTGGGGAGTTTGAGGGTTTGCCATCCAACCTTTTAAATTTCTGTCTAATGTCAGGAGATGACTGGGAGAGCAACTGAGAGTTGAGGACAAGCAAGCCCTCTTGAGAATTAGGATCTAGCCGGGTGTACTGAAGGGGAGCCTCTGGAAGTTGGTGAGGGACTTGGCAGGATTTTCATCCAGCCTCTGGGTGACCTCTCTCAATTCATCAAAATTAATTACCTTAGAAGAGGCTTTTTGGAGGCTAGCCAGGAGGCAAGTGAGCATTTTGTCTTGGGCCACCCTGCCTGGGGACTGATTCTCTTCATTAACCCGGTACTTACAGTGGTGGTGCCCTGGGAAACTGAGTCTGCAGGGGATCACAGCTGCATGGGATTGAGCAGTCAACCAGAGCTTCTCCTTTTCCTTAGGGGCGAGAGTGGAGGAAGGAATAACATAGAGGTCATGCCAGGGGAGGTTATGGTTTGAGTAACGTACCTGAACTCTTTGGTGAAGTTAGAAGGGGTCAACAGAGAAAGAACCAAGGCACCTTTCTGTCTGGGAGAGATCAGCCATAGAAAAAGGGACATGGACGTGGAGGCGGCTGCTAGGACCTGCCACTCCCCTTAGAGGGTACAGGCCACTAGTGTGGGATCAAATGTGAGCCGTGGGAAGTGATGAGGAGAGTGTAGTTGAGGCCAAGTTAGGATTGGGCAGGGAGCTGGCTGAGAGGGTGCAGGAGTATGATGTTGAGGTTGAGGAAGAGCATTAGGCTGCGGAGAGGCCTGGGGTGTGGCTGCATCCTCTACATCAAAGTCAAAAAAGAGTGAAAACAGAGGAGTCTGGATCCTGGTCAGCTTCAGGAGAAAGCTTGCACACAGGCAGACTCAAGCCATTTGCCTATGCGTTGGCACTATTGGTCAAGATCAGGGAAGATTTGATAGCCAGACGTGCCATCCTTTGGGCATAGAGACTGAGTGTCAAGTTTGTATTATGGCCAGGTTGTGTTTCAATAAAAAACGGAGCAGCAAGGCTTCATAACATCATTCAGTCTGAGGGTGTGTTGAGACTCGAGTAGACAAGCAAGAGGAGTTGAGGGGTTAGGTTTTGAGTGGGAGGAGCCCATGGTCAGAGAGCGAGAGGAGTAGAGTAAGGTGGTGGTGGTGGTGGGGAGTTTCCTTTGCAAAGGAAGTAGACGTGGGTAAGTGTGGTGACAAGAATTTCAATCTGGGGCCCCAAAGGGCATAGCTGAGAAATGCCCACATGGTAGGTGCCCCAAAGGGTGTAGCAAGCTCCAGGAGCCAGAGAGAGGACCTTACCAAGTAGGAGAGATCAGAGAGAAGACACTTACCAAATAGGAGAGCTGTGTAGTGATAGGAGCAGCAGGCTGCGTCCTGCCACCCGGCTAGCTTTACCTGAAATAACAACACACAAGTTGTATTCATTTAAGCACTGCCTGGCCCATTATTTCCAGCCTCTTCTTGGCTAACTCTCACATCTTGCTTTAAGCCATATCTAGTAATCTGTGTATCACCACAGGGTTGTGGCTTACAGGGAAGATTCTAACCCACGTCCATCTCAGGCCGGAGCTTCATGGTGTCTGCCTGACTCTGCTTTCTTTCTTCCAACATTCTGTTCTGTCTGAGGGCTGGCCTATCAAAAGGCCAAGGCAGCTTCTTTATTTAACCAATGAAAGTAACACATAGATAGAAGGCCCACCTACTCCAGAGATGGATGATTAGAACAGGTGGAAGAGCCAAATTCTAGAATTTGGAGTCAAATACGTTGGGTGGCAGAAGCCAGTACAGGCAAGTTATCCATACCCAGGAAGGAAAAATTGGTAGTTTGGTTCAGCTTGGAGGGGCCACGCCTCTTGAAAGGGGAGCACATTTATGCCTCTCCTGGGTTCCTGCGCCAGATGAAATAAAACCGAAATAAAAAGAAAGAACATGACTGCTCCTAGGTGGAGGGGAAAGTTTATTGTAGGTAAAAGGGAGAGCACAGCCAGAGGCAGAGATGTCTGGCAGAGTCCAGTCAAAGTAGACATGACCTTGAGGGAGGGTAGGGGAAGGGAGAGAGGGGGAACCAGGTGCAGCAGCCAAGAGGGCAAAAGGTAAAAGAGGGGTGTGTAATCAAAATGGCTGGGTTATACAGGGAAGAGTCTCTGGGGGAAGGGCAACCCAGTCCCTGGGCTGGAGAGCTGGCAGGAAACTAAGGGGCAGGGAACACCCAATCATAACTTGTAACAGGTCGGGACTGATGGATGCTGGGATAACCTAGTGGCCAGGTCTTCTTTGACATATTAAATAGACACCTCGGTGATTTGTCCAAGGATTTGGGACTTAAACATATCTCTTTAGTTTGTTTTGTGGTTATTTTGTTTTGTTTTATTAAATAGAAGATGTATGCAACTTTTAAATCCTTTTTTTCCCCTCCTTGGAAAAATGGGAACATCCTTTTCATCTTGTTCTTCCTTTACTTATTTTGTGTCTGTCTGTGTGTGTGTCTGTGGGTGTCAGGGACCAGCCTCAACAAAAATACCACTTGCCAGGGTAGGAGCATGGGGATTAGAAATATCAGTAATGAGTGTGAAGAATTTAAAAATTTAAATTTAAAAAATACGTGTTTAAAAATAATAAGACAGAAAAACACAGAATAGTACCAGGAGGGAGTTCCAGTGAATACTGAAATCCCCACATTTAATTTTCCATACACATTTATACCCCAATCCCACATGGGGAAGAAGACAAAGGCCTGCTTTAACACGATACAAATGGAAACTAGAACCGTTACTTGCTTCAGTACTTTGAGATATCAAGTCATTAACATTCTGTTGTTTAGGCATGAACCCACTCAAGTATCCTGAAGGCAGCCCGTCCCAAGGTCAAACCTCCTATTTCAAAAGGAGGAACAGAAGTATGCTTGAATTTCCTGACCAGGGGTCAGGGTGGAGTGGATCTAGCTGTATGGGCCATGTTAATGTCAAAAGAACCAAGTAACCACATCCTGATTCAGGATGTGCAGCCATGATTGTTGTTAACAATTGAGCAACTTCAAACTCTCTGACCTTCAGACAAGGTGGAAATAGGCTCACATTTTTGGGCCTCCAAAGGTGGGGGGTGAGGAAGAGGTTGAGTGTGTCATGACACACACATGTGGAGATCAGAGGAGAATCTGTGGACGTCAGTCCTTTCCTTCCCTTATCTGTGTTCTGGGGATAGAACTCAGGCTACCAGGCTTGGCTTCAGGCATCTTTGCTTGTTGAACCTTATTGCTGGCCTCTTTCTTCTTCTTTTATTTGATAATGTTTCTTGGAGAATACAGTGGCTTATGAAGACAACCTTCATTTCTCCATTTCTTTACTCAGTTACACAGTATTTTGTTGCTTAATTTACTTAGTCCTTCACCAATGGGTATTTGGGTTGTTTCCTGTGTTTGTTACTACAGAAGGTCCTGCCTTGTGTGTTTTCTGTTTTCTTTTTTTAATGCATGGGGTGAATTCCTAGATAAACTGTGGGCTGCAGTTTAGATGCATATATAATTTTGCTAAACACTGCCAAATTTCTGTAAGGATTAACCATCTTGCAGTTACTCCAGAAGTGTATGAAAGGGCCCCTTGCCCTGCAGCAGAGTGAGCATATTGTCAAAGTTTGGACTTTTGACAACTTAAAAGGTATCTCTCTGCATTTGGTTTCAACTTGTATTTCTCTTAAATAAGAGCAAGGCAAACACTGCATTTTGTTTTTTACAAAATTGAGAATATATTTGCTTTATGTAAATTATCTATTTTTCCAGCTTCCCCCTTTTCATAGGGATGTTGAGTTTTTTCTTTTACTTTTAGAAATCCTTTAGTGTTGGGGAAAATAAATAGCTATCTTTATATCAGCTACAAATATTTTCCTTGCTATTTCTACTTTGTGTTCTAAGATTATATGTGGAATATGTGTGTTACAGTTAAATTTATCGGTCTTTTCTTACTCCAAGGTCATAGAAGAAATTGTTGCCCCTCCCTTCTGTACTGGCTGAGTCAAGCTAGAGTCTCAGGTGAGGAAGGAGCCTTAGGTGAGGAAATGCCTCCATGGATTCCAGTTTTAAGGCATTTTCTCAATTAGATATCAATAGGGAGAGCCCAGCCCATTGTCGGTAGTGTCATCCCTGGGCTGGTGGTCCTGAGTTATATAAGAAAACAGGTTGAGCAGTCCATAAGCAGCTCACTTCCATGATCTCTGTATTAGCTCTTGCCTCCAGGTCCCTACTATTCTTGAGTTCTCTTCTCTTCTCTTCTCTTCTCTTCTCTTCTCTTCTCTTCTCTTCTCTTCTCTTCTCTTCTCTTCTCTTCTCTTCTCTCTTCTTCTTCTTCTTCTTCTTCTTCTTCTTCTTCTTCTTCTTCTTCTTCTTCTTCTTCCCCCCCCTCTCTCTCTCAACAGGGTCTCACTATGTAGCTCTCTTGCTGTCCTAAAATTTGCTATGTGTACCATACCAGCCTTGAACTCACAGAGATCCGCCTTCCTCTGCCTCCCAAGTGCTGGGATTAAAGGTGTGTGCCACCACGCCTGGTCTCTGCCCATGTTTCTTTGAGTGCTTACTTATTTAATTTTTAGATGAGTAGGTTCATAATCCATTTAGAATTTATTCCATTGCATGATGTGGGAATGGCCCCAGTCCCCCCACCGCTATGTTATCCAAGTAGCTGGCTCTGAGGTTGTGCTTTAGACACTACCAGAGTGAAGGAGGAAGAGTTTCTGATGGGTGTCCAATGACATCAGGTACAAAGTCACTGAATCCAACTGAGGGAGAAACAGGGACAGGTTCATTTTAACCCACCGTGTCAAGATTCCTCTCACCTAGCTCGGTTACTTTTATTCATTTTGTAGGCAAATTAACCAGAAAAATAATTTCTTACTCTACATGACTAAAGTGGTCAAGGCATCCCTTCATCCTTTTTGGAAAAGCAGTATCCAAATTTCTTTTAAGAACCTACCTGACTTCCGGGCGATGGTGGTGCATGCTTTTAACCCCAGCACTCGGGAAGCAGAGGCAGGTGAATCTCTGTAAATTCGAGACCAGCCTGGTCTACAAGAGATAGTTCCAGGACAGGCTCCAAAGCTACAGAGAAACCTTGTCTTAAAAACCCAAAAGAAAAAACAATAGAGCCTACCTGGCTAGGTGGGAATTGTTATCCTGTTAGTCCTGTGAGCTATTTTCCAACGGCTCACAGTCATAGTCAGTTTTGAGGGTCATGAGCTCAGGATGGAACTTGGGTCTCAACTGCAGCCAAGGAGACTTGACAGTGGGGTTCCGACAGAAAGGCGGAGACGCTGAGGTGGCCTTCAGGGTCTAGCACAGGGAGGTCAAAGCTGAGCTGAGAAATGGAAAGAAGCTGAGTCTTTGGGATGTGTGAACCCACCAGGCTACACCGGAAGGCGGCCTCTTCCTACTCCTACTCACCCCTATGACCTAATATTTGGTTTCTATTTATGGTCACTTGAGGCTAAGAAAGTCCTTCTGTTTGTTTGTTTCAGACATGGTCTCCCTGGTTGCCCAGTGTAACCTAAAACTTCAAATTCTTCTGCTTCAGTCTCTGAGTGCTGGGAATACAGATGTGCCACACTAGAATTGGCTAAGAGAGTCTTACTAAATTTACCTTACATTCTGAATTTTTAAGAATTTAGTTTTTTTAATATCTTTGAGAATTTCATACAATGTATTCTGATTACATTCAGAATACATTCCCTTCCCTAACTTGTCCTAGATATTTCCCTACCTCCCTACCTACCCAACTTCATGTTATCTCTCTTTCTCCCCTTTTCCTTCCCTCTCTTTAAAAACAAAAATCCGAGCCAAACCATGGAGCCCAGTTTGTGTTGGTCAGCTACTCCTGGGTATGAGGAGTGTGGTCAGCTAAATATTATTCTGCTCTCACTAACTGGGCAGCAATCAAATGCCAATAGCTACTCAGCTAGGGGCGGGTCTTCTCATCTCTGTCTCCTCTAAGGTCTCACCACACCCAAGGTAGAGACTGCAAAGGGATTTGGTCAGAATCTCATGGTTCTCACACTGGGCTGACTTCTTCCTCCTTGAGAGATCATGTTGTAAAACAGTGTGGGTAACACTATCATCCCCTTGAAGACAAAGCAAGAAGAGAAGTCAAGGGGCTCAGAGGTTAAGAGCACAGGCTACTGTTCCAGAGGTCCTGAGTTCAATTCACAGCAACCACATGATGGCCCACAACCATCTAGAATGAGATCTGATGACTGCTTTTGGTGTGCAGGCATGCACGCAGATAGAATAATGTCCACATAATAAATTAATAAATCTTAAAGAAAAAAGAGAGGCCAGCTGTGAAGTTGTTCCTCCCAAATTCAATCCAGGTTCATAAAATCCACATTCTTGGAGGTCAGAGACTATAGGTTCCTGTTGTAGCCACTGCAGGGACTGATAAATTGCCTTCCCCAAGCCAGGTACTCACTGACACGCCCAGGCTTGAGTTTGAACTAGACTGAATGCTTTCGAGTTCATTCTGTTTGTACCACAGGTGAGGAACATGGAGCCAGAGAGAACGAAGCTCTACCCAAAGGCCAAGACCTAGCTCAGGTAGCCTGTCTCCCGCCGCAGGCTGAATCCAGCAGTCCAGCTCTCCCCTTTGAGATGGAAGGATGTCCAGGACCAGTTTCTCAGCTAATTGGCTAATCTCGGTATCTCTGGGTAAATGACTCCAGCCCTCTGAGTCTCAGGCTTTGGACTCCATCATTTACACAAGACCAGTGCTCGTAAGGACCAGTAGGTCCCATATGGAAGCGATCTGGAGACCCCGAGGAGATGTGCTGCTTCATGCGGATTTCAGCTGCAAGGCCCTCCCAGAAAGCCTGTTTGGAGGCACTTGGTGAGCGATAGGACTGCGGTCCATTCGCGGCTCACTACTCTTCCTTTCCACCAGATGTGCTGGCGAGTTCTCAGGCTGTGAGGTTTTTCAGACAGGTGCTGTTTCTCCAGGTGGCAGGTTGAAGTTGAATGACTGACTGACTTAAGGATATCTAGATAAGCAGAACCTGGGGTGACCCCACACCTGAGCGATCTCACACCCAAGTTTAATGGTACCCAGTTCAGGCCTGTCACTGGCCTCAGCTCACCCATCAAGGTCCTTCTGAGACTCACTAAGGATGCCCCATCAGTGCTGAGAGACTGGCAATCCTAAGGTCTTCTGGCCAGGCCACCTTGAGATAGTCTTGTGGTGACCCAACTGGTGGGGGCGCTGGAGGCTTAGATTTTCTAGAACTTTCTCCGGAGGTGGTGAGTCAGGTATTCCCGGCAGAGGTGGGGTGCTTCAGGGAGATTTCATGACCAACTCTCTTGGGAAGCAAGGGAAGGCAATAGACACTTCGTCTGTTTTGATGAACCATGAGTAGCCTTCCGGGCATTGTGCTCCCGACATGCCCCGGTAATGAACACAGAGACCAGAATTCCTTTGAAGAAACACAACACCCAGCACTTCCTCCAGCATTCTGAGGAAACTCCTGAGTAACTGTGCAGCCAGGAATCTCCCAGATGCCGCCTTCCACCTCCTTATGTCTGTCTGCTTCAGGAAGGGCTGGCCCTTCAGGTCTGACGTGGGCTTGGAAGGCCTCGGCCATAGCCCTCTCATGAAAGACATATTTTCTTTATAGTCCCCTGACATAGATGCCCTTGTCATTACCTCCTTCTCATTCATATACAGGAACCAGATACCCAGAGGAGACCAGTAACTCACCCATGGCATTTCAGAGGCCACAACAGAGCTGGGTCTCACACTGCCTAATGGGAGGCTGGAGTCTGGTGATACTATCCTCTTACATATACCTGGAGGCTTTGTGCTTTCCAGGTGGAAAAGGATGAAATAGCTATGCATTTGATTATCTTAAAAAAATAAAAATAAAAATCTTTCTTATGGAAAAATTGGATTCATAGAGGTTTTTTTTTTTTTTTTTTTTTTTTTTTTTTTTTTTTTTTTTTTAATAGGATTTTTCTGTAGCTTTGGAGCCTGTCCTGGAACTAGCTCTTGTAGACCAGGCTGGCCTCGAACTCACAGTGATCCACCTGCCTCTGCCTCCCGAGTGCTGGGATTAAAGGCGTTTGCCACCACCTCCCGGCTGGGATTCACAGAGTCTTAATACAGTCATAGTACAAAGACTTTCTATGTTCTGGGCATCTGTCTTCCCCAGGTGTTCACAGCTTTTATCCACACACGTCATGTCTGTGTTAGCAGACATATATTGACCCATTATTATCAACTGGCCCCCACTTTTATTCCAGTTACTTCTTCTCCTCCACCTCCCCACCTCATCCCCCCTCATCCCCCACTTCCCAATGTCCCCTTTCTATTCTAGCATCCATCCAGGTACTGTGTCACACTCAGTACTGTGCCTCCTTAGCCTGATCTTGGTCATGGCAGTTTCCTAGACATTCCTTGATAGTCTTAAAGGATACTGGCAGGAGATTCAGGCTTCGGATTTTGGGGAAAGGCACAGACATGAAGTACCACTCTGCTCTACCGCACTCATGACTGCTGAGGGTGACCCTGATTGCCTGGCTGAGGGGATGCTTGTCAGGTCTCTTCATTATAAAGTCACTTGTCAGCCTGGCATGTGGCACGCCCCTTTAGTGCCAGTATTCTGGAGGTAGAAGCAGGTGGATCTCTGTGAGTTTGAGGTCACACAAAGAAATCCTGTCTCAAAAATCAAAACAAGGTTGTGGTGGCACACGCAGGTTGGATTTCCTGAAGAAGGTAGAGGCAGGAGGATCACAAGTTTGAAAAAAACAAACCAAACCAAAACAAAAAGGTCACTTGTTCATGCTGTACTCGAGAATTGTTTTTGAGCATTCAGAAAAGTAACTGAAAATTCTCCTGAAGCCAGAAAAGGGAAGTCATGGCGGAATAGGGTGGTGGCTGGTGTCCTGGCATCAGAAACACATTTGTGTCTGACCAGAAGAAGCTGGTGGCTTCAAGGGTACTGTTCAGGGTCCTGGTGGGAGCAGCCAGAAAACATGGCCGCTGACTGGATGTGGCCTACAGACTATGGCTTTACTGATCCTCACTAATAGATGAAGCAAATGTAGATTGCATGGCATACCTTCCCAGACTCCAGACTCCAGAGCAGACCTTGGCTCTACTCCAGGAATCCAGGCTCTGCGGATGGCAAGGTTAGCCGTGTGGCCCAGGTGCATGAAGGTTTTACTGTGGGATGTTGGTATCACAGCCTCTTCATCATTCTGCCCCTCACAGTGTCTCTCTGTTGTCAAGCCTCCCTCTATGAGGGTTCCTGAGCCCCCAGCTTCTTCAATTCTTATCACCTGGTTTCCTTCCTTCCTCACAGACTCCTGTTCTAGGTGGAGTGAGGCCAGGACCATAGAGGACCCCTCAGTGAGCTCTGGAGGGAGCTGAGAGGCCACATTATAAACACTGTGTGCCTGGTTGCCTGGATGGTCCTATGAGGGGTGTGTATGTGTGGGGGGATGAGGGGTATTGAGGCATACAAACATGGATTTGCTGTTTTCCTTTTAAGAGAAAAATAAGGTCCTACTGTGAAGGCTTTGCAAGAGTTTGTTTTGCTTTAACTTAATCATATGTCTGATACCCATCCATGCCAGTCCTTCAGGCCTGTCTATATTTAATGTTGCCTCAGTGCTGCAGGGCATGAATAAACCATAACTTAAAAAAGTCATTCCTTTGAATGAGCAAATATAATTTATCTCCTGGGCTTTTTTTTTCCCCTCCGAGACAGGGTTTCTCTGTGTAGCCCTGGCTGCCTTGGAACTTGCTCTGTAGACCAGACTGGCCTTAAACTCACAGAGATCTGCCTGTCTCTGCTTCCCAAGTGGCCATGGAAACACTGTGAGTTGATCTGAGCCTTATACGTACATTTTGCTAAGTAGACAAATCAGGTAATAGGGCCTCTGTGAGTGATGAGGATAGAACGTGCACAGAAAACCACTGGAGCCACGCCTGACACATGGGAAGCCCTGGGCAAATGACAAATGACACCAGCTTGCTGAGACGGAGATTGATCTTCTCACTCCACAGAAGAGGACAGTGGAGCTGGAGAGAAGGCTTGGAGATGAGGAACACTTGTTGCTTCTTAGTCATCGGAGAAATGCAAATCAAAACAATTGAGATTCCATCTTATACCTGTATGAACGGCCAAGATAAAAACACTGAAGACAACTTATGCTGGAGAGGTTGTGGGGTGAAGGGAACACTTCTGCATTGCTGGTAGGAATGCAAGCTGGGACAACCGCTTTGGATGTCAGTGTGGTGATTTCTCAGAAAATTAAGAAACAGCCTTCCTCAAGACCCAGTAATACCACTTTTAGGTATTTATCCAAAGGATGCTCAATCGTGCCACGAGGAGATGTGCTCAAC